CACTTTCTACGGGTGCTGTACATATCTACATGACCACCAGCAGTGAAGGAGAGTGCCTATCTGGCCACATCTCCTCCACCATTTGTTGCTCTCTGATTTTCTGATTTGAGCTAACCTCAAGAGTGTTGGTATCTCATGGTTGTTTTCATTTGTATTTCTCTGATGGCTAATGATAAGGAGCATTTTTTCATATGTTTATTGGCCTAAGTGTCTCCACCCTAGTGAAACTTCAGTTCTTTTGCCCACTTCCTCAGGGGGTTAACTGTTTTCATCTTTTTGGAGGTCAGGAGGGTATTGCTCATTTTAGTAAGAAGCCCTTGCCTGTTGTGTCATTACTAAAAATTCTCTCCCATTCTGTGGGTTGCCTGCTACCCTCTTGGTGGAGTCTTTCGATGCACACAGGTGTTTTATCCTTAGTAAATCCCACTTGTCTATTTCAGGTTCACCTGTATGCGTGCCCTGCCCTATTGCAGTTAGCCTTTGTATTCCCTGGGCCAAGGTTTTTGGGTTTGTCCCCATTCCTTCACTGATGACCCTGATGATTTGGGGTTTTACTTCTAGGTCTGTGATCCACCTTGAGATTGTTCTTGTGCGTAGGGTGAGGTAAACATCTTGTTTCACTTTTCTACATGTGGATATCCATTATTTCCTGCCCCACTTGTTAAAGAGGGCATCTACCTCCACTTGATGCTTTGGGGACCCCTTGAAAAGATCAATTGTCTATATACTGATGGTTTTATTTCTGAGTTTTCTGTTCTTTTCCATTGGTATGCGTATCTGTCATTATGCCAGTACCACGACGCTGTTTTGACCACAGGGGCTCTGTAGTAGGTGTTAAAATCAGGTAAAGCGAGGCCTCCGAATTTGTCCTTCTTGAGTTCTCTGCTAATTCTGGGCTTCTTCCCTCTACATATGAAATCAGTAGTCATTTTTTCCAATTCTTTGAAGGAGGTGGTTGGTATTTGAATCGGAATAGCGTTAAATTTATAAAGTGCCTTGGGTAAGACGGACATCTTTACTTTGTTGAGTCTTCCAATCCATGAGCATGGGATATTCTTCCATTTGTGGAAGTTGCTTTTGGTTTCCTGAAGCAGAGTCTTATAGTTTTCTTGTATAAGTTTTTTTGGTTAAAAATATTCCTAGGTAATTCAATTTTTCCTTGGCTATTGTTAAGGATACTGCCTTCTTGATCTCCTTTTCCATGGTTCTATCTGATGTATATAGCAAACCAATAGACTTCTGTTTGCTCATCTTGTATCCTGCCACTCTTCCATATTCCTCTATCACTGTAAGTACTCCTGCTGTGGAGCTTTTGTGATTTTCAATGTACAAAATCATGTCATCTGCAAATAGCAATAACTTCACCTCCTCCTCTCCCAGTTGGATACCTTTAATGTGCTTCCACAGTCTTATGTTGTTATCTAGGACTTCCAGTACGATATTAAATAGAAGTGGGGACAAGGGACATCCTTGTCTGGTCCCCTTTCTCAGGGGGATTGTTTTCATCTTCTCCATTGACTATGATGTTGGCTGTTAACTTGAGGAATTTTCTTTCCATTCCTATCTTCATGAGCGTCTTAATTAAGAATGGGTGTTGGATATTAAATGCTTTTTCCATGTCTATCAATATTACCATGTTTTCCTTATACATTTTTTATCAAAGTGGTGCATAATATTGATGGATTTGGGGATGTTAAACCATCCCTGCATCCCTGGGATGAATCCGACCTGATCATGTTGGATGATATGTTTTATATACTTTTGCATTCTATTGGCCAATATCTTGTTAAGTATTTTTGCATCTATGTTCATTAGAGAGATCAGTGTATAGTTCTCTATTCCTGTGGGATCCTTCTGCTGTTTGGGTATCAAAGTTATATTGGCTTTGTAGAATGAGTCTGGGAGTTTGCTATCCTTGTCTATGCTCTGGAATAACATGTGGTGGATCAGTGTCAACTCTCCCCTGAATGCTTGGCAGAATGACCCTGTGAAGCTGTCTGGCCCAGGAGTGTTTTTTTTGTTTTTTTTAATTGGTAGCTTCTTGATAGCCATATATATACTTCTCTTGCTATGGGCTTGTTGAGATTCTTGACCCCTATTTGGGATATAATCTAGGGAGGGATTGTTTTTCCAAGTGTTTGTCCATGCCTTCCATATTTTTGAATTCATTAGAATACAGACTCTCAAAGCAATAAGAGGTGGAAGAAGGGGGAAAGTGAGGGTGGGGCAGGAGGAGGCCAAAGGAAACAGAGGCAAGCTCTAAGAAGCAAAGGCGTAGATAGGGAGATTGGCAGAGGTGTGCACTTATGTAAATACATTAATCCATAACAATAGTAGTATTGGCCTATGTACATGCATTTATAAGGCAATACACTGAGGTTGCAGTTGGGCCTTGGGTCTCCTATTTTTTTCACATATGCATTTATTGATATCAAGCTACCTCTAATAATTGCTTTTGCAGTATCCCATAATTTTTGATGCACAGGATTCTCATTTTCAATGATAGTCTTCTATAATTTGAGCATTCTGTTGGGTCACCTATCTTTGGAATGGGCACAAATATGGATCACTTCCTGTTGGCCAGGTAGCTGCCTTCCAAATTTCTTATGATAGATGAATGAGTGCTTCTAGTGCTTCATCAGCTTGTTGAAACATTTCAGTTGATATTTCATCAATTCCTGGAGCCTTGTATTAACTAGGAGCCCTAGTGGCACAGAGGTTATGAGTTGGGCTGGGATCCAAGAGGTTTTTCCATTTGAAACCAGCAGCCACTCCTCAAAAGAAAGATGGGGCTTTCTACTCCCATGAAGAGTTACAGTCTCACAAACTCCCAAGGGCAGTTCCACCTTGCTTTATAGCATCACTATGGGTCAGCATCCACTCAATGGCAGCATGTGTATATGTGTGTGGTTTATTTTTGTTTTCAGTGCAGCTTGGACTTCTTTCGTCAACATCATTGGTTCTAACTCATATATTATGGCTTGAAATGGTGGAATATCAACTAGTTCTTTTTGGTGCAGTTTCTGTATTCTTTCCATCTTCCTTTGATGCTGTGTCATTTGCTGTATCATTCAGGATTTTCCCCATAAAATCTTTCAATACTGCAACTCAAGGCTTGAATCTTTTTCTTTAATTATTTCAGTTTCAGATACAATGAGCACGTTTTTCCTTTTTGATTTTCTTCCTCCAGGTCTGTGCATATTTAGTTATAATTTTTTACTTTATCTTCTCAATCTGTCCTTTGAAATTTCTATTCAGATAACATTTCTGGAATAAATACTATAATATATACATATATGGAACAGAGTATATAATTAATATTCAAACAGCAAAGATATCTAGTTGTACATAAAAGATAACAAACCGTTTTGAATTTGAAAAGAAATGATCCTCAAAGAAAAACTGAAAGCCTCAACAAAACATAAAAGAGGAAAATTACAAAAGTATGCAAAGCAGTACAATTTTCAAAAACCATAGAAATATCAACAAGGAAATCTATAAAAAAAATGCAGCTAAAAAATAATCGTGGACATGAAACCTAAATCAGCATGAAAATATAACAACACTAAGCAGTAAAACCATATTTATCAATAAGAACATTAAAGGTAAATGGATTAAACTCACCAGTTAAAAGACAAAGACTAACAGAATACATAAGAAATCATGTGCCTTCCTAAAGTTGCAATACTTCCCCTTGAGAGGTGCTGGAATTATCCAAGGGGCAGCAAAAGCATATACCTGTGCTTTATCCCTGATTATGGGATACAGTACAAACGTTTTTAAGTTTGGGAGGTGGGGAGACAGTTTTAGTAATTTTTGTCCCCCTGAAAAGTGGGCATACAATAAGTTTGGAATCTGTGGTTGAGAGTCTAAACTCCTTGAACACAGAAATTATAACTCTGAATTCCAAACGCAGCTTGAAAGTATATCTAGCATAGCGAATAAAAGTAAAAATAACATCCCCTGTAAAGAGAGAGGACCCAGAAGGAAGGTGAAGGGCTGAAGTCAAGAAAACTGGAATGCTTTATTGAGCTCCACTGCAGGAAAATGGAGTAAATGCCATGTTTATATTCATGGATGGAAAACCAATTATGATGAAGGCTTTGAAAAATATTAAATTAAAATTCCAATGGAGAAAAAAAGATAAAGAAATCATGTCCCTTTAATATGTTGCTCATGAAAAATATACCTTAGGTTTAAAAACAAGCATAGAATAAAAATCAAAAGGTAGAAAAATTCAAGCTAATAATAACCAAAGAAAGCATAAATAGCAATATTAATCTCTGACAAAGTAGCTATCAAAGTAAAAGACTTAATGGGAGACAAAGAAGATAATCATGAAATTGTAACTTGAGCAAGAAAGTATAACCATAATAAATATTATGTATTATATTGCAATATATGCATATATTGCATGTTATATATGCAAACATATTATTTATTATGCATAAATAATATATATATTTGATGCAACAAATTAAAGACCTTCAAAATACATTAATACATTCTCACAGAATTGATGAGACCAATCGACCATAGTATAATAATAATAGGAGACTTCAGCACATTACTTTGAGCAAAGATCAATAAACTAAAGAAAATCAACAAAGATACAGATGAACAAAACAACATTCATTAACTTGACCTCTTAGACATATACAAAATGCTTCACCCAACTAAAGCACAATACATATTCTTTTCTCATGCATAAGAGATGTCCTGAAGAATAGATCACATATTAGGCTATAAAGAAAACATCCAAAAAATGAAAAAACATAGAGATGCCACAAACCACTTTTTCAGATCACATTGCTGTAAAATTAAAACAGGACCCCCCAAAAGGCAAATGCATGAACTTGAACAACACTTTGCATAAAAACCACTGGGCAATTGAAGAAATAAAGAACACAGTAGGAAAATCCTTGAAACAAATGAGTGTAAGAATGCAACATGTTGAAATCTCTGGGACACAGCAAAAGCAAGAGTCGGAGGGCAGTTCATAATAAAGATCATATATTTGAAGTGGCCAACTTCTCACTCAATGGAAACAAATTGAATACATTCCTCTTTTGAACAGGAAATAGATAGGGTTACTTTTTATTACCATTTTTATTTAATATAGTCCTGGAAAACGTAGTCAGATCTAGAAGACATCAAAAAGATATTAAAGGCATTCACACTAGTGCAGAAGAAACAAAACTTTCTTTATTCTCAGGTGATATAATACATATATATATAAAACCCCAAAGATTCCTTAAAAATGTAGTGAAAATTCACTATTGCCAAAAAAACACTTTATATGCAGTGCAATTCTGATCCAAATCGTAGCACAATTCTTCAAAGAAATAGAAAAACTAATCACCAGCTATCTATAAAAGGAAATAAACCCAGAAAAACAAAATACTATTTTAAAAAAGAACAAAGTAGGAAGCCTTTCACTCCCAGATTTCAAACCTACTATGTAGCTACAGTAATTAAAAGAGCTTGATAATTATACAACAATAGCTATGATGACCAATAGATTAAAATTGAGACCCCAGAAGTACAGCCAAATTACCTGCAAATATCTGATGTTTGATCAAGGACTACAGTATATTAAGTGGGAACGAGATAATTTTTTCAATAAATAGTGCTTGGAGAACTGCATCTTCACCTGCAAAAGAGTGAAACAAGATCAATACCTCGCACCATGTGCTAAAACATATTCAAAGTGGATTAAAGAGCTAAATATAAACCCTAGAACCAAGAAGACTATTAATGAAAACATAAATAGGAACAAACTTAAGGGCCCTGACACAAGGCATAAATAAACAGCGTAGCTTAATGAAATGTTCTTTTTTGACCATGAGTTCAAATACCAGTTCTCCAGAATCTGTCATTCTGGACATAGTAAACCATGACTGCTTGATTCAAAATGGCCAATACTGTCCATTTTAGCTCACTAATGCCTAGGATATTGAACTTTATGTGTTCCATCTCATCTTTGACCTCCTCCAATTTTCCTAGATCTATACTTTGTACATTTTAAGTTCCAATTCCTAATAGATGTCTGTTGCTGTTTCATCTCATTTTGAATAGTACCCTATCAGCAAAGACAAGTCCCCAAGACTTGACTCTACCCACGTCATTACGGTTGTTTCTACTTTGCAAAGACAGTTCTTCCTCAGTCTGATTTTGATTGTCTTCTGACCTAAGGGGCCATCTCTTGGCACTATCTCTGACCATGTTCTCCTGCTACTCATCCGGCTTCCAGGGCTAATTCTTCTGAACTGGGCAGCCTAGGCCTTCTTCGCAGTTTGTGCTTCATCTGGGAAGTCCGAACCTGTTCACTTTGGGTCATCCTGTTGGTATTTGAACTGCCAGTGACATCGTTTCCATCATCAGAGCAGCACACAGCCATAACAGTATGACAATGGACAGACAAGGGAGTGGTGTGGGGAAGGTAGAGATATAAAATTACAAGACACCATGGTGGTGCAATAAATTTACATGGAAATTTGTGAGAGCAAGTAAGTGATAAATAATCTAAAGTTTGAAATACTATCCATAATTTACTCCATAGAGAAGTTGGGAAAGTATTCCAGATAAAAGAAACTGCACACCAGAATAAACATGACAAATAGTACAACAAATAGTTGCCTTGAGTGGTTTGGCCAAGTGTATTAGAGCACCCTCATCCCACACATAAAATAAAAGGAAAAACAAAACTACCCTCGTGGGTGTATATTACTAGTAGACTACACTAAGCAGAAACTGGATAAAGCTAAGTATAGGTATTGTATGTATGCCCCTGATGGTTCACGATGAAGATTTCATTTTTCATACCTTTTCATAATCGTTTTTGTTTGTATTTTTTTCTGACCTGTTACATTAGTAAATTTAAAAAAAAAATGAGAGAGAGAAAAATGTCTCCATTTTCTCGTTCCCCAAACTTTATGTTTCAGAGAGGAGTGTTTATGCTTATCCAAGGGAACATCAAAACATTCTTTGAAAAATGGAATTAAAAGACAATTGAATTTTTCCATTAAATTTTGAAACCCTCTTGTAGTCATTGTAGTTACTAGTTGACCTTCTACTTTACCAAGTATGATGTCCTTTTCCAGGAACTGATCTTCCTGGTAACGTGTTCAAAGTATGTGAGGTGAAGTGTCACCGTGGTTACTTCTAAGTAGCAGTCTGTCCTTTACTGCCTTCAAGATAAATTTGTTTCTTCTCCGAGTGGCCCATGGTACTTTCAATATTTTTGTCAACACTATAATTCAAAGAAATGAAATCTTCTCCTGTTTTCTAACTCAATCTCCAGCTTTCACAGGCATATGAGGCAAATGAAAATAGCCTGTCCTAAGTCAAGCACACTTTAGTCCTCCAAAGGACCTCTTTGCTCTACAACACTTTAAACCACTCTTGGGTAGATTTCCCCAATACATTATTTGGTTTGATTTCTTGAATGCTGCTTCTAGGAGAAAGGATTGTGTATCTAAGTAAAATAAAATTGTTGAAAACTTCAATCTTTTCTCCCTTTATCTTGAAACATTATCTTGTGTTATTCTGGCAATCTTTGAAGTATCTTTCATATCTATTTTGTGGGTGATGAAAATTATATGTAGGATAAAAATTATCACTTTCTCAAAACTATTTACTATTGTCTATTGTTTTTACTCATTGGGAATTTAATTCCAATTAGTATCTTTTTTGACTAATAGTAAAGGAAAGGTTTTCAGCTCTCTAATGCAAATGTGACTCAATTTGGATGTAGTAAGTTAAATTTAAATTTGGTCACTGAGCTTTCAAATATTTTGGTCTTCTATAGGATCTGAGAAAAGAAGTGATAAAATTGTATACTTTCCTGGGAAAGGAGCCAACAGAGGAGCTTGTGCATAAGATTCTGAACCGTACTTCATTCCAAGAGATGAAGAAGAATCCAACTACCAATTATACAGCACTACCAGAAGAGCTTTTCAACCATAAAGTGTCCCCCTTCATGAGAAAGGGTAAGGAGACTTTACAGTTTATAACTGTTAGGATTCACAAATTGAAGTGAAGGTAGGTAAAAAATGAACCAGGTCTATTCATGAATGGGGATGCGCTTTATGTTGTTCAGTGCTGTTTTACCTTTAGAAACCTTTATTGAGTCATCAGTTGTGCTGAAGCATAAAACACTGTTGACCCACTGTCATTGAATTGATTCAAATTCATGCCAACTCTAGCACAAAGAGTAAAACTACTGCATATGGTTCCCAAGGCTGTAAATCTTTACAGAACAGACTACCACATTTTTCTCATGAGGAGAAGCTGCTGCCTTTGATCCACCAACCTTTCATATAGCAGCCCAACATTTAGACCAATGTGTTACCAATGGTCCTTTTATGTATATAAACCAAATGAGTTCATACTGCAGATACAATGGCCTTACACACAGAAATGATTTTAAGGATAGACAGGACCTGCTGGAGATTTATTCCATTGAACATAAAGTACATGAGTTGACTGGTTGGAACTAATGTGAGAGCACTTAGCAACAACTATGTGCACTGATGTGGTGTATATATGTGTGTACAGCAGAGTGAAACACTCCCAAGTCCTGTGCAATCCTCCCAATCTCTGTGATGTTTGAGCGCAGGGTTCCAGCCACTCTGCCAGGCCATCTCATTGAAGATCTTTCTCTCTCTCTCTCTCTCTCATGCTTTCTTTGCTAACCCTTGTCTTTACCAATCATGATGGCTCTTTTAGGGACTGGTTTTTCCTTAGCTTGTATCCAAAGTACATGGAGTTTCCCATCCTCCTCTCTGAGGAACATTTTGCTGTATTTGTTCCCAGAAAGATTTGTTTGTTCTGTCCGTCCAAGATATTTTCAATATTCTTTGCTGATACCATAATACAAGTGCAGCAGTTCCTCTTCAGTTTTCATTAGTTAGTAACCAGTTTTCACATACAGATGAAGTGATTGAAAATATTTATATTTTCAATATATATATATATAAAACCTTCTCAATCATTTCATAAGAGTGGAGACAAGAAAAATTGATGTGAAGAAGCATGAATATGAATAAAAAACTGGATCTTGGAATTGAGGGCAATATATATGCCTTAGGGAAGTAGTGTTTGTATATACATATGTATCTATACATATAGAATTACTATTAAAAAAGTTATGGAAAACTGCAGAAAGAAAACATAATATGGTGAGGAACAAATCACATTAATTTTCAACCTAGCTGAATGCTTCTGTTCCACCCAGGTGGTAATTTCATATAGGTACTTGGATATTGAAGCATAAGGCATACAAGTTTACAGGTATTGAACATAAGTTATTGACAGGGCATTGCAATGGGATTGAAACCATGAGACAGAATGAAATATGAATACTGAGAACCAAAAAATTTGAAGGAAACTTGGAGAAGAAAACTTAAGTGAAAGAGTATAAAAAGGACAAGTTAGAGAATTAAATTTGCTCTGCTCGCTTAGCTCAGGAAAGTTTCATCTTTGCAAGTTCAAATGTATATTTTTAAGTATAACAAATAATAATTGAGGATTTTAAGAATAAGATTTCATTAGGTATTAATAAAGGCGAGGACTATTAGAAAATCTCATTATTCTGACTCAAAGATATAATTATTATCTGTTGCATTAGTATTCATTGCTATTTCTCCTGTATTGCAGGATGCGTGGGAGACTGGAAAAATCACTTTACTGTGGCACTGAACGAAAGATTTGATTTACGCTATGACCAGGAAATGAAAGGGCTGACCCTGAGATGCCCAACTGAGATCTAAGAAGGACTGCCATGTCTTAACATTTCTGAAAATTACTTTTTCCTTCCACTCACTTTTCCCTACAGACTTAGAGAGGAATATTTTCAATGTTTGTTTTTATAATATTACTGTACCTATAATTTCTTAATTTGGAATTGTTCTTTGTCTAAATGAAAAACTCAAGTTGTTCCTCTCTTTAAATTATGAAATGTGTAGGTTGGAAAAGTCTACTCAGAACTAATAGTGAATTTTCAGCATTATTTTTCTCTAAGTATCCTTATTCTTTGGCACAAATATGAAACTACTTTAAAAAATCAATATTAGCATGGTAGATAAAAATGATGTGTAAACATTTTCAAGCATATCAGTCATTTACCATTTTTTATTTTATTAAGACCTCCTTTTCCTCAAGCGTGCAATTGTTGTTTGTTTTAATTACAACTCAAATACAAACCCCCTGCAGTTGGGTCGATTGCCCAAAGAACTGCTCCAATAGAGTATCCAAGACTATAAATCTTTACAGAAACAAATTGCCCTCTATTTGTCCTTTTGGTTAACAGCTAAGTATTTTAATGTCCATGCCATCAGGACTACTCTTCTTCTAATTAAACTCATTTTATTTCCCATGAGAAGCAGTGAGGGAGGTCAAACCACTGCCACCTAGCATTTAACAGTCAAATGCTTACCCATGACACCACCAGGGAAAATCACAGCTGGACCAAGAAGCAACATCAGGATCAAGGAGAAAAGATTGAAATTGTCAAGTATTTCATGCTACTACCCTAGAAATAATTTGAATGTGTTTTGTTTATGTTTATACTCATTTAACCAATTTGAAGATTTTTTGTCTTAGACTTCCTTCTATCCTACATAAATGTAATCAATACAAGCTCTGTATTTTTAGTTTTTAGTTGGGCAATTGTCAATAAACAAATGCATAGAAAATCTAATGTGCTATTTTAAATAAGTTTTATTGATATGTATCCCTATTTCACTGTCTTGTTTTGCCTTTTCAGCTCTAGTGTTATATAACAGTCAATGTGTCTGTTTTCTAAAATAAGATATACATAAAATCAAAACAAATTCATCATAGGTCTCAGTGTTGCAATAGTCCTAATCCTTTTAGAAAAAGTCAAAACTATCGAGAAAGCAATATGATTTGCTTTCTACCGCTTGGGAAATAAGTTCAGAAATGATTCCGTCTCCTGTTACCTAGTAATCTTTTTTTTTTTTTTTTTTCCAAATTCAAGGTACTTTTAAAACTTAAAATATATTTTTTATAAATTTAAACACTGCATGTCCATTTAACAACAAAAATGTTGTAAAACGATGTTGAGAATACACACACAGAGAGAATGTGTATGCATCTGTATGAATTTAAGTAGAGGAAATAGATGGGGAAGAGAAACAAATTTTTAACTTCTCTAGTGATATGGTAATAGCTAATGCCCTATTCTATCTCACACAGTGCTTTTTACTTTTTTATGGCTTGGTTCATTCACTGCAGTGGCCACACAGTTCTCACAGACAATGCTCATGTTTATGGGGTTACTGGGGAATCTAACAAGTTACACTTCAAATGGAAATGCTCAAGCTATAGTTGTTTGGGGAAGAAATGATACAAAGTTATTTTAGGGCTGCTAATAAATGCCCAAAGGGCATGCCGCTCTGCTGTATGCCTCAACTGAGAGGCACTCAGCTCCAGATCCATGCGTCTGAAAACCCAGTTCTCCCAGTTGAATCAGAGAAAGGCCACTCTCCATGCCAGCCTCCTGTCCCCAGACACTGAACTTGACTTGCTCCGTGGGCTGGGACTTGCACTACTCCGTCTCATAAAGCAGATCCTGGTTCCACTCCTGCTGCTCCTCTGCTCCTCCTCTGACATCACAGTTGTATGTTAATCGGGTTACTGTCTCTATGGATTGACCTACCCTAGATTTCATAAAAAGAAAATCATATTCAAAAATGGCAATAATAAAATAAAATACGGAAGGAACCTCAATCCAAGAGAAAGCAGAAAACAGTAAAACTTAAAACAAATTAATGAACCCAAAGTGGAAGCAAATGGTAATATGTTAAATTTTAACCTAATTAAGTCTGCATTTAAAAAATAATTTCGGATGCACTTTGTCTGAGAGCAAGACATTTCACATCCCTGGTCAATGGTCATAGAGAATTCCATGAACTTAATCCCCATGAAGTCTCTACAAATGGATTTTGGGTATTCACTGTCTTCTGTAGCCTTCTGTAAACTAGGTGCTTGGAATTTAAGCTCAATATATTTCTCTCCTCAGATCTTGGATTTTATTATTTGCAGTCCTTGGATCACACAAGCTGATATGCTTCTTCCATGAAGGCTTAGCTGACACCTCACTTAGATGACTACTTGGTTTATTTTCGTTTCTTTTTTTACTTTCATCCACTACTTTTATTTCTCTCCATTCAGCATCATAAACAAACCATCCCCTTGTTTCTGCAGAGCACTTCTATCTGGACTCTGGTTATTATTTTTTTGTTTGTTTGAATACATATATATATATATTTAAAACATTTTATTGGGGCTCATAAAACTCTTATCACAATCAACACATACATCAATTGTATAAAGCACACTTATACATTCGTTGCCCTCATCATTCTCAAAACTCACTTTCCACTTGGGTCCCTGGAATCAGCTCCTCATTTTTTTTCCCCCACTCCCCCTCCCGCACCCCCCCCCACACCCCTCCCTCATGAACACTTGATGATTTATAAATTATTATTTTATCTTATCTTACACTGCCCAGCATCTCCCTTCACCCACTTTTCTGTTGCTCATCCCCCAGGGAGGAGGCTATATGTAGATCCTTGTGATCTGTTCCCCCTTTCTACCCCCCTTCCCTCCCGGTATCGCCACTTGTTTTTAAGACTTGAGATGCTATTCTTTCTGATAATCACCTGATTTTTTTTTTTTTCATGAGAATCAGGTACCATCTGGTTGCTTCACCAGACTTTGTCAAACCATCTGTATCTTTAGTGACCCCTTCATTAGGTTAAATAGTGAGCAAGGTCAAATCATAACAACTTATCTTTCTGAGATTAGCGCTCAGTGTTAAGTGTGAGCTCAAAATTCATTCATAGATCTAAGCCCATTGTTGCAGCTACTGTATCAATCCATCTCTTTACGAACCTTCCTCTTTTCTCCTTGCCCCTCACGTGAATGATGTCCTCCAGGGACTAGTCTCTCCTGACAACATGTCCAAAGTATTTAAGATGAATTCTGATCATCCTTAGCTTTAAGGAACACTCTAGAATTACTGGTTCTAAAACAGATGAACTTGTCCTTTTAGCAGCCCATTGTACTTTCAATATTTTTCTCCAACATCATAATTCAAATGCATAGATTTTCTTCAGCCTTCCTTATTCACTGTCCAACTTTCACATGCATAATATGCAATGACGAATACCATGGTTGGGCACACATGTATATGAGGCCATTGAAGATACCATGGCTTGGGTATACCATGGCTTGACCTGTCAGCTTTATCCGCAAGGTAACATCATTACTTTTCACTACTCTAAAAAGATCAAAAGATCTGTGAACAGATTTACCTTGCAACGTGTCTTTTATCTCTTGACTGCTGCTTCCATGAGCAGTGATTTTGGAACCAAGTAAGATAAAATCCTAGACAGCCTCTAACTATTCCCCATTTATCATGATGTTACCTACTGGTCCAATTATGAGGAATATTTTTCTTCTTTTTAAAAAAAATAATTTTATTGGGGGCTCGTACAATTCTCATCACAATCCATATATACATCCATTGTGTCAAGCACATTGCACATTTGTTGCCCTCATCATTCTCAAAATATTTGCCTCCCACTCTAGCCCCTAATTTCAGTTGCTCATTTCCCCCTCCCTCCCCTCTCTCTCATGAACCCTTCATAGTTCATAAATTATTATAATTTTGTCATAAGTTACCCTGTCAGATGTTTCCCTCCTCCCACTTCTCTGCTGTCCATCCCCCAGGGAGGAGGCAATACTTAGATTCTTGTAATTGGTTCCCCCTTTCTACCCCACATTCCCTTCACCACTCTCACCACTGGTCCTGAAGGAGTTATCTATACTGGATTCCCTGTGTTTCCAGTTGCTATCTGTACCAATGTACATCCTCTGGTCCAGTCAGATTTGTAAGGTAGAATTGGGATTATGATAGTGGGGGTGGAGGAAGCATTAAAGAATTAGAGGAAAGTTATATGTTTCATCATTGCTACCCTGCACCCTGATTGGCTTATCTCCTCCCCACCTCCCCTCAGTAAGGGGGTGTTCATTTGCCCATCGATGGGCTTTGAATCTCCACTCTGCACTCCCCACCTTTACAATGATAGGATTTTTTGGTCTTGGATGCTTGATACCTGATCTCTTCAACAGCTCGTGGTCACACATGCTGTTAGGCTTCTTCCATGTGGGTTTTGTTGCTTCTGAGCCAGTTGGCCGCTTGTTTATTTTCAAGCCTCTAAGACCCCAGATGCTATATCTTTTGATAGCTGGGCACCATCAGCTTTCTTCACCACCTTTGCTTATGCACACATTTGTCTTCATCGTATCAGGAAGGTAGCCACCCACTGATCTGATTTTTAGTTCCTTGATGTCTGATAACTGGTCCCTTCTGCACCTTGTGGTCAGTCAAGCTGGTGTGCTTCTTCCATGTGGGCTTTGATGCTTCTGAGCTGGATGGCCGCTTGTTTATCTTCAAGCCTTTAAGACCCCAGATGCTACATCTTTTGATAGCTGGGCACCATTAGCTCTCTTCACCACATTTGCTTATACACACATTTGTCTTCAGTCGTTGTTTCAGTAAAGGGGGCACCCACTGATATGATTTTCAGTTCTTTGATGTCTGATAACTGATCCCTTCTACACCTTGTGGTCAGACAGCTGGTGTGCTTCTTCCATATGGGCTTTGATGCTTCCCAGCTAGATGGCTGCTTGTTTGCCTTTAAGCCTCTAAGACCCCAGACGCTTTATCTTTTGGTAGCCGGGCACCATCAGCTTTCTTCACCACCTTTGCTTATGTTCACATTTTTCTTCAGCAATCGCGTCGGGAAGGTGTGCTTCCTGGAATGCCAGTTTTTGTTTCTGCTTAAATTTTTTTTATCTTTTAATTAATTTATTTTTCTATTAGCAATTGGTTTCCTTTTTTGTTGCCATCGCTGTGTTCTCACTGGTCGCCTATCTTGCTATGGCTTGGTTTTTGATGCATATTATTATCTCTACAGATCTATCTAGACAAGATAGACTGGATGAATAGTCTGGAGGAGAAAACAATGGGACCAACAGTTCTGGAGGGACACAGGAGAGGGGGCGGCAGGGGTAAGGAGGTGGTGCTGACCAAGCCAGGGACAGGGGAGCAACAAGTGATCCAAAAAGAGCGGCAAGGAGGGTGTGAGAGGCCTGGTAGGGATTAAGCAAGGGCAATGAAACCGAGAGAAATCACTGAAACCCAAATGAAGGCTGAGCATGATAGTGGGATACGAGGGATGTGCTGTGTGGTTTTGGAAAGAACTAGGGGACAAAGGGTATGTATAGAGGTTTTAAGACTGGAATGTACATATGTAAATATATTTATATAAGAGTGTGGGGAAACAGATCTACTTGTATATATTTATAGGTTTAGTATAAAGGCAGCAGATGGACATTGGGCCTCCACTCAAGCACTTACTCATTGAAAGCACATTGTTCTATTAAATATTTGTCTTCTTAAAGTGAGTTGTAATCCATATGGAAGGCTTGATCTTCATCCTTCATACAATCCTTGATCTTCATCCACAAGTGTTTCAAGTCCTCCTCACTTTCAGCATGAAAGGCATGTCATCTACATATCACAGATTGTTAATAAGATTTCCTCCAATCCTGATGCCATGCTCTTCTTCATATAATCTTTTCTGATTATTGGCTCAGCAGATGGAT